ATGTTCTTTTTAAAAAGAATTTTCTATATTTCCTGATGGCTTCTATTTTTTTGACAAATCAATAAAATACGCGAAGATATTATTTTCCGAAAAGGAAATGGTGTTTTTTTGAGTTCTCCAGTTCATAAATGTATTGTAAGCGGCAACAAATTTAAAGTACCAGGTGAAGCAGCTTCCCTAATTTCAGGTAGAGTATAGACCATTTCATCATCACTGTTGTTATCCATTTTCACAAAAACACATAAGGTCGATTTACTTGCCGCTGCCGTTGCTGTTCGACGTTGACGTTGCCGTTGCAAAATAAATATGAAACAAAGGTATGCGTCGTTTATATCATCCGTTGGCGTCGCCGTTATGTTGCCGTTGACCTTTTCAACCAATCAAATTGCGGTGGTGTGCAGTGCTGCCAACTTGATGGAAAATCCCCTGAAGTAGGGGGGTCATTTTTCTGGTTGACAGCACTAATTCCACCAAAATCAAATTTTGATAGAAATAATGATGTCCACTAATATTAAACCATTTAGTCACCTATTCACCAACATCCTCATTTTGCCCTGTTTTTTTTAATATGTGTAACCTTCTTTTCACAACAAGAAACTTAAAACATGTTTAAAATGATAAATTTGTATAGGGAAATATCGATTTTGCAATTACGCTCCGCCCCTCGCTCTGACAACGAATGAAAAATTCATCACGATTGAGATCGAAACAGATGGGTGGAGCTTCTCTTCTGTTTTTTTTTTTTTTTAATTAATACATTTAGTTTTCTTTGTATAACACAATTAAGAACACATTTCACATGGTAATTTCCCGTAGAAAAATAAGGATTTTACAATTAAGCTCCGCCACTCGACTTACGACGAATAAAAAAATCAACAGAATTGAGACAGGGCGGGTAGGCGGGGCTTTTATTTTGCCATTTTTTAAATATACATAGCCATGTTTTCACAACAAGAAACTTAGAACATGGTTAAAAATGGTACAAAAATTTCCTTATATAAATTTTCCATTTTAAACATATTTAAAGTTTCATGTTGTGAAAAGAAGTTTACACACATTAAAACAAAAAGGCAAAATGTAAGCCCGCCCATCCGCCCGTCTCAATTGTAATGATTTTTTTTATTCAGCGTGACCCAATGGGGCGGAGTTTAACTGCAAAACACTTATTTCTTTACAAAAAATGAAAAACATGTTTTTGAGTATACTGTTGTTCAAAAAATACCACGTGTATTAAGAAAAAAAGGCAAAATATAAACTCCGCCTCCCACTCCATCTCAATTGTAACGATTATTTTTTCTTAGAAACTTAAAACACGTTTAAAATGGCACATTTTTGTAAGGAAATATGGATTTTGCAATTAGGCTCCACCCCTAGGTCTGCCAACGAATGAAAACTTCATTACTATTTAGATCAGAGCAGGTATGGGTGGGGCCTAATCTTTGGTTTTAATTTTTTCTTAATATACATAGTATTCTTTGAACAAAACGATACTGAAAAACATGACTTACATGGTAATTTCTTGTAGAGAAATAATAAGGATTTTGTAATTAAATTCCGCCCCTTTGACTCTCGACGATTAAAAAAAAATCATCACAATTGAGATAGTGCGGGTGGGCGGGGCTTATATTTTGCCTTTTTTCTTAACATACGTAGTCGTCTTTTCAGAACAAGAAACTTAAAACATGTTTAAAATTGTAAATTCTTGTAGATAAATATGGATCTTGCAATTAAGCCCCGCCCCTTGAGAATTAAGAACGGGGCGCGTATGAGTGAGGCCTAATCTTTGACTTTATTTTTTTCTTTGAATAACACGATATTCAAAAACATGTTTTTAATTTCTCGTAGAGAAATAAGGATTTTGCAGTTAAGCTCAGCCTTCTTGCCTCACGACTAATACAAAAAATCATCACAACTGAGATAGGGCGGGTGGGCGGGGCCACATTTTGCCTTTTTTGCTTAATATGTGTAGACTTATTCGACCAAAAGAAACTTAAAACATGTCTAAAATGGTAAATTTTTATAGTAATCAACTTAAATACTCCATTTTTCTGTTACAACCCCTTTGAATACGTCAAAAGTTAAACGTCAAAGTTGTATCAACAGCAACTTGGCAACGGAGTTTATGAATGACAATTTTTAGCTCTAAAAGCAACGTCAGCGGGAACAGAAACCGCAACACCAACAGAAAGTTTATAAATCCCACTTTAAAATACCGTGTGAAGTAATCTTATTTGTTTGTAAATTTTTATTTGGTTACCATGCCTACACCATTTAAAACAGTAGTTAGATTTTGTACACGAAAAATTTTGGTGTAACGTTTAATAAATAGTGTGATTTACAGACAGATCTATCAACTCCTAGTGATAGCGTAATGGTTAGAGATCTAGGTTTACTTTCTATAAAATAACATACTTCTATATTTGTAGTTCATGAATCCACCTTGAGTTTTTACCTTAGGCCTCTAATATTTTATGTCAGTACAAGAACACGGCTACCGGACCAGTAAAACAGTGCACCACTTTTTTTTATTGCGCTATGACTGGTACGATGCATATTTTTAATTCCCGGGCGTAAGCAAAGAAAGTTTTCTAATAGGGTCCATGTTTTCTCGACGTTTCATAACTCCTAGAGTACGAAAAAATAGGTCTTTCTTTTCCATCTGTCTGTTGGTCGTCTGTCGTCCATGTCCATTTTTGTTGGACAGATTATCTCCAAAACTACTGGACTAAGAGTTCTCAAATCATGTAGTTGGTTCAACGCTACACAAATTCTGCATAATCATCCCCACCAACAATTTAATGACCGCCTGTTATCATTTTGCGTGCTAAGGGTTATCTAAATTTTATAAAATAATAGAGTCCTGAACTCGTGGTTCATGAATCCGCCTTGATTTTTATTAGAATTAGTTTACAATGTAGCCAATATCTTGCTGGTGCATTAAATACCTACTAACTAAATTGATTAGGTGCCGGATTCTTAGGCTTGTGCTCTAATCCCATCCCTATAGAATGTTTTTTTAACGCTGACTGGTATTATCATATTTTTTTACTTATTGAGATTATGAAATAAATAAAATTTTCCAAAATCAAGTTTTATAAATTTCATAGAAACTGGATTTGTTGAGTTATGTCTAAATAACCTTACACCAATTTTTTCTAGTTTAACCCACCTCGTATATTTTCTTCTTTCCGAGACTTCACTAGTGATATGAAATAAATTTTCCACTCTTTATTACACCCTAACGTCAAATCGAGTTATGTCATCCCATGTAACAAAAATAATTCATAGCAAAAGAATAATATGTTTATTCTGTCAAAAATCAATATGTACTACGTGATACGGCTAATAAATGATTACTTAATGAAAACGCTTAATTTACAAATAATATAGTATGGTCTACAAAAAAAATCAATATGGTATTACTTCCGTCAGTTATTTATCCATGTATTTCCATAAAATAATGTTTATATATTTTTTTCTCTGAGGAACAAATTCTTAAAACATTAAAGAGTACTAATTTAGTTACGCAAGGCATTGACAAGACTGCTTGCGTCATTTTAAAATACTGCACACATTTTTGCAACACTACCGTCAAATATCTTACGACGTTAGAAGTAAGTCATGCTACCTCCATAGAAGAATTTTTATTCAAATGGTAATTATTCGGTGGCTGTTAGAATTTATCTTGTCAGATCAACATTGTTTTATGGAAAAAAGATACTGTTACCAACCTGACATGCCTTACGCAGTTTGTCGCTGATACAATTGTTGATAAAAGTCAAGTGGATATATATATGGACTTTCAGAAAGCCATTGATCAAGTGGACCGCTACATCTTATTAAAAATCTTTGTTATATAAGGGTTTTCTATTACACAGAAAACAATGTGTTAGGTACAGATTTTTTTTTTTTTTCACAAACATACCGCAATATCTGGCGTTCTCCAAGGGTCAAACTTGTGATCTTTGCCATTTCTATTATTTATTAACGACATAATTAATACAATTTTACTGTTTCCTAACAGTGTTAATATTAATAACTGAGACTGAGAAACTTGCTCTTGTCTAACTTTATTTAAGCAATATGTTTCATTTTTCAGCGTACCTAACTGCGTTTTTATTAGTTTAATGTTTATTTATTTTAAATAATTGTATATTTATAGAACAAAAATGTTCCTGAATTTCCACAACACTGTACCGATGTTCATCAAAGTTCCATAGCACTACAAAATTCGGAACAACATATTCTAAATTTCAACAATTTAGTAAAAAAATATCTATAACCGTTTACAGTGAATAACAAAGATTTTCAGATTCGTAAATAGTAATTACGTAAAATAAAAAATTAATGATTGAACACTTCCGCAACTCGTCATTAAATGTAGTTTTTATCACGTTTAGTTATTCTGAACACCCTTTGTGTCCAAAATTATTTAACAAACTTAATGTTACATACAAATTAACAATTTTAAGGAAGAATTTTTTACAAAAAACAAAATTAAGGAATAAAATATTATTGATTCTTTAAATTTCTCCTTTCTTACACATTTAATGAGGCAAAATCAGAAAGAATTGCCCGCAAATTGAGGACACCTCGAACGATAACAGCAAATTACATAGCAACAATAAGTCCAGAGGGTGTCTCCTAATGATTTACATCGACCCTGTCCAACGATAACAAGTGATTTATCTTGAGACTATTAAACGCAGCGGATATCAGATGATTAAACCAAACAAACAGAAAAATCTCGCGTCTCGGGATTAAACAAATAACCGATAAATGAACAACCAGATTAATTCCGATTCTGACTGATTTCTAGCAATAATTTTAAGATTAAGATAACCACGAAAATTACAAAATGAAAAAACAATTACAAAAATTCCAGAATTCCTACAAGTGGATTCCCATTCAAATTCTCGACTCGACTGAGTACAATCTACTTTAAAAATCGTCTTATCGGAGATAAATAGGAAGATTATCTCGACTACTAGTGGTAATAATAATAGTGTAGATCGACCATAACCCATAAAAATAGATCAGTAGTGTATGTGCTGTCACAGAGGGTGTTTGCGTCACTGAGTAATTAAATAACAACAATCGTCAAAGGTACGTTTCCTACAACCTCCACGAGCTGTCAGTGTACAGTTTTTATTAAATTAATTTCGCAATATATTAGCTGTGACATAAATACCAATTAGTTAATTGTTTATTTTCTATATAATAAGCTACTTGTTGATCTAGTAATCCTAATAATCAAGGTCGTGTTTGCTCTGTAATTATTTTTAATAGGGGGTGCTTTCACAGACAGAACCGTAACTTAATTTCCTTGAAAGTGTAACGACTTGAGAACAAAACTCCATCATGTTAATTATTTGCAGGCGCCATCTGAACACAATTAATGTCAAATTATTTTATTAAAGGTAGTAAACGTGTCTTTATTCGCAAGCTGAGACGTTGTATGAGATCTTCACAAGCGCTTTGTCATTTATTCAAGGGCTGTTTCCGGCCAATCTCTCTTGTTAAAATAAGTACATCGGAAAAGCGTGTTAAGAAACAAATTGTATCAGCAATTTGCAAGAAACGAACTTTACAAATCTATTCATTTAGAAAATTGTCAGCATCTAGGCCACTGCTTTCATGCAATTTTGAAGCTCCATTTAATTACCTACAGAAATAAAGCATCCCGGGCACTATACACTTGATTGCTTCTAAATTATATTACTTGGTATGTTTGTTTGAACAAAAATTTGAAGGAAACGAATTATTATCTAGAAAGGGTTTTCGCAATTTTGTTTCAATTCTAAATTTGTAAACAATAACAGAAATGTAACAATGTGTAAAAATCGTGCTCTGTTTCTCATAAATAGAATTGTTTTTTGTTTCAGTTGTCAATCAATTAGAAATCATACTTATTACAGACAACCACTTGACAACTAATTCTCATATTTATCACTTATCTAGGCATTATTATAACGTAACGATTATCAGTTTACCCTGTATCACTTTCAGACGACTTTATGTTTGCTTGTTTGCTTATACATTATTAGGACAGATAAACACCCAGCAAAGTGTAGAATTTGAAAATATCTGTCTCCCGTTTCCGTCTTTATTAGACACATAATCCCCGAAACTACTGGATCGATTGTTGCCAAATTTTATATACATAACAGCAATATCGTGTAGATGGTACAACACTAATCAAAATTTGTCCAATCTCCCTCACCGACAATTTGATGACGTAACCTTAAAGTTTGTAGTTTAAAATGATTTAAATGTTATACAGTAATATACTCCTACACTTGTGGTTTATGAATATGCCTTGTGTTTTTCCAAATTTTCGAAAAAAATCACCTTCAAGCAATGTCGAGCATGCAGATTCCGTGTTGTTTATTTATCCTCTAGAAAGTTATTTCTAAAAATTTATTAAACAAATTGCTAAAAATATACCTCGAAACGCAATGCTACTGTGACAATGGTTATTTTTCTCATATATCTAAAAAAAAAACGTTGTTTTAACATTTTATGAAGAAAATCTCACTTAAAACGTATATCATTCGTTATTTTTATTTTAGCACCTCGGGGTTATCAGAAAAAAGAAATTAATTTTAGAATCTTTTTTAATCCGATTAACAAACTGGAATTATTTAAAAATTGTGATAAACCACTTACCGAAACAGATTTTATTTGTTCTCTTTATGCAAACACCAATGACAACTTAAAAAATTGGTCTGTTATTTAAACAGAGCTTCCCCTGAAGGCCAGTCCAACAAATCCCTATTCTTAAATAGGAAATACCAGTAACAGTGTAAGAAAAAGGTAAGGTGCATAAGGTGATCGAACAGCAGGACGCTCTACACTAACGGGCGTTTCTTGATGGCTAGAGTACGAAAAAGTAGGTGTCCCGTTTTCGTCTTTCTGTCGTTCGGCTGTCGTCTGTCTTGATTTTTATTAGACATACAAACTCTGAAACTACCGATTCTTGTCAAATTTTAGATATGTGTTAGAAATATTTTGTAAATGGGATGTGATAGCGTCATCTCAAAACTGTGCGCAGTAAATAATATTTAAATTTATAAAATAACATAGTCCTGCACTTGTGGTTTATAAATCCGCCTTCATTTTTATCACAATTAATTTACAAATATTTTTGTGCAACGCGTTTCACGTAACCGATGTCTGGCTTGCACACATGAGAAGCTCCTGGTAGACACAGAATTTGTTTGAATGTTTTGACTAAAGGTGTGAGGGAAATTCGGTTTAAATAAATTTACAGAAGATATTCATAATCATAAACGATTTAGGTTTTCGATGTTCTCAAATAAAGTTTTTTATTATTTTAAAACACTACTACTTAAATAACGCTGTTAAGTACAAAAACGATTTTTAGGTCTAATTAAACGAATTTTAGCCAAAAATTAGATATTACAATACAGACTGACAGAAAAATAATGATTTTTAGGTGTAAAAAATCAACAGATTTTTATAGTTATTAAAATATGCCAATAATTTATGATGGATCACTACTTTCATGTTTTCTCGACGTTTCATGACCCCTGCAGTACGCAAAAATAAGTCCCGTTTCCATCTGTCTATCGTTTGTCTGTGTCATATTTTATTAAACAGAATCTCCGAAAATACTGGACCGATTGTTGTCAAATTTTAGATGAAATTTAAGAATATCGTGTAGATGGTGAAACCGTCATCAAAATTTGTATAATGATCGCCATCAAGAATTTGATGACGTCCCCTCATTATCTTGCGTGGTAAAAGTATCTAAATTTTATTAAATAAAGTAGGTACTTCTGTTCTTCTGGTTTAAGAATCCACCTTGATTTTTACCACAATAACCTAACAAAAAAATTTTCATGCAATATTTTCCATGTATTTCATGTGCCTAATGTGCCAAATACATTGAGGCCTGGCTGGTTAAGTAGTCCATCGGGCCACTGACTACTTTTACGTTTTTTCGACGTTTCATGACCCATGGAGTACGAATGGGTCTCTTGTTTCCATCTATCTGCCGGCTGTCAAAATTTTTATTAGGCTGATAATCTCCGAAACTACCAGCCCGATTGTTGCTAAATTTTATATGTAAATTAGCAATATAAATCATCCCTACCATCACTATCATAACATTTCCCCAAAATTTTTCATAGCAATTAGGCGCACATTCAAGGTGACACTAAGTTTTTTTGTTTTTTTTTACACTGTTACTGCTATTATTTATATTTTTTTATTGATCAAATTTGTGTGTTTTCGTAACAAAATGTATTCGAATCATAGACAGTGGCGGGGTATGGGTGATTAAAGTATGCTACATTATTGAATTCAGAAAAACAAGCTCTACAAGAATTTCTAAAAAAGATAAAGCGTGTCGTTCTCTGTCGTAAACAAAAAAAATTGGTCTAAAGAGTTTAGACAGTACTTCCCTCGCTGTCGGAAACGTGACGACTGCATGTCTATTATGTTTTTTTTTCGCAGTAGATTTCATTTTTTTTTTTGAGTCACCCGGTATATGCAAATTTAAAAAATATGAATGGAATGAGAAATTAGAAGTACAGACTCATCATATTTTGTATATTCTAGATAGGATTTATTCGGCAAACTTTTGAGCTAACGTCATCAGTTTTTTGTAGAAGATAACCAAATATATTTTGACTAAAAATTTATTATGCTCTTTATAACCTTAAAACATTTGCAAGATTTCAAAACATTCGGTTCTAGAGTTCCTGATTAAATCAATAAAATACATTTACCCATTCATTAATTTTTTGGGTCACCTGTATATGCAAATCCAAAAACTATGAATGGAATGATAAATTACAAGAAAAGACTCATCATATTTTGTACATTTTAGATAGGATTTACTTAGCAAAATTTTGTGGTGACGTCATAATTTTTTTAGGGGGGATGAGCAAATACATTTTGATCAAAAACTTACCATGCTTATGATAACTTTAAAACACCTTCAAGATTTCAAAGCATTCAGTTTTGTAGTTCCTGAGTAAATCAATAAAATAAATTTACGCATTCATTAATTTTTTTGAGTCACCCTGTATATGCAAATCCAAAAAATATGAATGGAGTGATAAATTACAAGTACAGACTCATCATATTTTGTACAGTTTAGAAAGGATTTATTCGGCAAACTATCGAGCTGACGTCATCAATTTTTTGGAGGGGATAAGCAAAAATATTTTGACTAAACATTTAATATGCTCTTTATAACCTTAAAACATCTGCAAAATTTCAAAGCATTCGGTTTTGTAGTTCCTGATTAACTCAATAAAATAAATTCACGCATTTATTAATTTTTTTGAGTCACCCTGTATATGGAAATCGAAAAAAATTGAATGAAATGATAAATGACAAGAAGAGACTCACCATATTTTGTACATTCTAGATAGGATTTATTCGGCAAAATTTTGTGGTGACGTCATAAATTTTTTAGGGGGTATGAGCAAATACATTTTAATCAAAAACTTACCATGCTTATGATAACTTTAAAACACCTTCAAGATTTCAAAGCATTCGGTTTTGTAGTTCCTGAGTAAATCAGTAAAATAAATTTACGCATTCATTAATTTTTTTGAGTCACCCGGTATATGCAAATCCAAAAAATATGAATGGAGTGATATATCACAAGCACAGACTCATCATATTTTGTACATTTTACATAGGATTTATTTGGCAAACTTTTGAGCTGACGTCATCAAGTTTTTGGAGGGGATAACCAAATATATTTTGAGTAAAGATTTATGATGCTCTTTATAGCCTTAAAACATCTGCAACATTTCAAAACATTCAGATTACTAGATTCAAAATTAAATAGCAAAATGTTGTTTTATAATTTTGATTTTTTTTCCAAAAATCTGGACGTTTCGGGTAAAACCCAATTCGGAGTCGTAAACTATATGTTTAGGACTATATTATTATATACAATTTAAAAGCCATTTACTATGTACAATTTTGAAGTGATGTCATCACATTAGTGGGGATGATTAGACAAATTTTGGTTAGCGTTTTACCATCTACATGATATTCCTAATATAACTACAAAATTTCACAACAATCGGTCCAGTACTTTCGGAGATTATCTGTCTAAG